CGCGGTGCAACATCGGGCGCCAGGCATCCTCCTGCAGGCATTGAACTCACCGTGCAGCCGATATAACCCATCGGTGTGGCGTGTATAACGCCGAATGTAACACAAAACTTGCCCTTCGAATCATTTTCCCCGTCATGTGCGCTCATTGAACCTCCTGTCAGATTTGATGAAATTACTAGCTGCGCGAGAAAGCAGCGGTCGCGCGCGCGGGGTTTCAGTTTATTTTCTCCTCGATATCGACACGTGTCAAGCTCGTTGCATCTCTCGACGGTGAGTAAGTGTCGTGAGAGGAAAAGCTCCACGCGGCCGCCTCTAGTTGGCCGTCTTATTTAAAACTGGAATCGCGTGTCACGCTCCTTACCCGTTTTTGGCTCTCGTATTTTTAGTCATCGCGGAGAAGCAGAAAGTTCGTAAGTTCGCGCCGCGGAATGGATCCCACGATCAATGTCTCCGCTTATAAGTCGTATACCGCTCGCACCGGTTACCCTGGCGCCCCACGTTCGATCGTATTTTCGGCTTTTCCTCCTTTCCTTCCCCTTCTTCCCCCGCCCCCTCCTCCGCTCAGGTGTTCGTTGAATATCACTTCGCGACTTCTGCGTCCCTCCATTACCGTAATGAACACTCCGGTCTGTGCAGTTGCAGAAAAATGTGACGTCAAGTGCCTTCTCTCCCCCTGCCCCCCCAACCCCCCTCTGTCTATCTCTATACCTCTTTCTCCTCCATTCGTCCGTTGATCTTTCCCATTTCCCTCTCATCTCTCGTAATATGAACGGGACAAAAAGGGTAGCCGGTGCAAGAGGCGCATTCGCTTTACTATTAATCCGGCGCACTATCCGGGGTTTCGACGGAGCCCGGGAAAGCTCCGGTTCAAAATTTACGCTTGTTTCCAGTCTGAAACGCATTACGCGATGAACGATCGATCGATTCGTCCTCGACGCGTTATCACAATCTCGAGTGCTCCGTGTTAAAATCGAGGTCGCGATTCGCGGCTGCGGATCGTATATATATACGTGTGTGTATGTGTGTTTCTATGCAAAGCGACGTGGGTCGGTGGAGCTTTCGTCAATGGCACCGCCGAGGCGATGTTCACCAAGGGTCTGGCCTGGTGTCAAGTACCTATCGGATACAGCCTCAGTCTGCTTTTCGGTACGTACGTGATCGAGTGGACAATCGTTGTGTCCCACATAGCCACACGCGATATCCCTAAGGACATCGTGCTTAACACGTTGAAAGTCATGACGGTTACCGTAGGAGGATAGTTGAGGTGAAGATTGAGTGAATGTTCATTTGCTAGATAGCAAAAAACGTCTCAGAATAGGGTTGTCAGATGGCCTTGATTTCTAGGATTGTTCCGAAATTTTTTAAAGTTTGTCCCGTGTCCCGGAATTAGAGTCTTTTGTCCCGGAAAATCAGAATTTCAAGAAAATTATAATCATAATATTCATGTTTTTAACTGATACTAGAAAGAAATTTGAAAGCAATTACTGAGATTTATAAGGTCGAAAAATTTGACGTGCGACCTGAAAAATCATTCATATATAGTAAAAAAAAAAAGAAAAAAAGATTAATCGTATGATTTATATCTTCTCTCTGCTGGTATCTAATTCACACATTTATTCATTGCAAGTAAGTAACGACATCTCTTGACTGTTTTACTCCTCTATTTGTCAAATTTAACTAAAATTCTCTAACAATCTATTTTTCAACCTAAAAAATATCTCGGAAATAGTCATTTTGCATCTGGCAACCCTATCTGAGAAGCATCCGGGGGAGGAGGGAGCATCTACGATGCCTTAAGCAATGTCCCAAGATATCCTGAACACGATCCTCGTGAACGTTTTGTGCTATCTAAGGTAGCTCCACAATCACCTGCTAGAATTACAAGTCATCGGGAGTAATCGCAGATTTACAAGAGATTTATAAGATTTTGAAGTAGCACAATTTTGATTGTTTATCCTTTATCATAGGGAACAACTCCTGAAAAGGGGTTCCCCTTACAAAATAACTCATGTAAAAAGGACACTGAGTCGATCGTCTTTTTTCTCCTGAATATCGTCCTCTGATTAATGTACTCGCTGGTGAGCATGTTAACGAAACTTGAAAAATTTGCGCGCGATGTACAGGCGCCATGCTCTTCGTGCGTCCGATGAGGAAGGCGGAGTATGTGACGATGTTGGACCCTTTTCAAGAGCGATACGGCGCAGGTGTCGGCGGTTTGCTCTTCCTGCCAGCACTGTGCGGCGATCTGTTCTGGTGCGGCGCCGTTTTGCGGGCACTCGGGAGCTCGTTGGCTGTTGTCGCCGGGGTCGACCCGAATATCAGCGTTTGCGCTTCAGCACTTTTAGCGGCCATGTAAGCATGATGACTGACGTTCATTCGGCAATTCAATTGCGAGAAAGTGTACTCGGTACTACAGAAGTCGAGGGATGAGTTGCGACGAATCGAAGGTTGCTTTCAGATACACAGTTTTTGGCGGTCTGTACTCTGTCGCGTGCACCGACGCCCTACAGCTGCTGTGCATTCTGCTAGGCTTGGCGATCGCAGCGCCGTTCTCTATAATGCATCCCGCGGTATCGTTCGAGAAGAATCTGGCCCTAAGGGACTGGCTGGGACAGATAAGGAATGAGGACCTGGGCGTGTGGGTGGACGGTATGCTGCTACTCGTGTTCGGCGGTATACCTTGGCAGGTGGTTCAATTTCTCAGCACGATATTTAGAACTTTAAAGTCTAAAGGACGTTGTCAGATTATCCGCAAGATTGGGATTCGGAGTCCTAATTTATCTTACTGGGCCAATTAAAGCGTAGGATCAGATTTGCTTTGCATGAGGAGTATAAATTTGAAGAAATTTGAGAAACTAAATCTATCAGGTTGGCAACAAAGTCATGTCGTTTTTCACGGATAGATGGCTTTGCTTATTATTAAATGCAACTAACTTCACTCCAAATCCTATAACCTTTATATTACTTGACAGCTGATATTTCAAGCTTTCTTTAAAAAAAAAGTGCGTCATTCGGTAAAGAATTGTTTGTTTGGCATTAAGTTGAAAATGGAAAATCAAAACGAGCATTTCCGTCATATTTTACTTTTTTACTTCTAAAAAGGAAAAAACGCTGCGCAAGTCCGCCAAAAGTTATGTGCTGTGTATGGTAAGGAATTCTTAACAGAACGCCAATGTCAGCGTTGGTTTGCTCGTTTTCGTTCAGAAGATTTTTCTGTGAAAGATGCACTACAGTCAGACCAGCCAATTGAGGTCGATGACGATAAAATAAAAGCATAGTTTGAATCCAATTTCGCCATTATACGGAAAATCGTTAAAAAGCTAAACGTATCACATATGAGCGTTGAAAACTATTTAAAACAACTTGAATGCGTCAACAAACTCGATATTTGGGTTCCACACGAGCTCACAGAAATTTATCTTTGATTCATAAACGCATTAATATCAGTGACTTTCTCTTGAAAACGATTCGTTTTTTAAACGAATGTTAATTGGTGATGAAAAATGGATTGTTTATGACAATGTGGAACGAAAAAGATCGTGAAGCAAACGTGATGAGCCGCCACAAAGCGTTTCTAACAAGGGGACGGTCAGACTTGGCCGTCCCCGATTTGGCTGAAATTGTACGTACGTGCAGTGTTTAGAAAGAAACTCTTATGGACCAAGCCGTAGGACACACCTCTCAAGTGTCTTCGAGAAACAGCCATTTGAAAATTTGCGTGTAACGCTAGGATCTGGGCAATGCACCAACTTCATAAGCGCGAGATCGCTGGTTCGAGTCTTGCTGCTGCCAAATTTTTTTTTTATGTTTCTTTATATATTCAATATTTATGCTGAAGTTTAAATATTTATGCTCTGATTTCCTGCGGCTTGGGAGCTCTACGCGCTCTCTTTCTTTTCTTCTTTTAAAGGGAGTGAGAGAGAAAGAGATTTTCATACTTTATACTTTTATTCTTTTTTTTTCTATCCTTTTCAAAGAGTGACCGGTAGATGATACTGGTTGAAAAAGGTGTAGTAGAAATGATGAGTAAAGAAGTTGGTGCGTTGCCCAGATCTTAGTGTTACACGCAAATTTTCAAATGGCTGTTTCTCGAAGACACTTGAGAGGCGTGTCCTACGGCTTGGTCCATAAGAGTTTCTTTCTAAACACTGCACGTACGTACAATTTCAGCCAAATCGGGAACGGCCAAGTCTGACTGTCCCCTTGTAAAACAGACATTCATTAAAGGAAGATTTTGCTATCTGTTTGGTGGGATTATAAGAATATTGTGTTTTTTAAACTGCTTAAATGTAATCAAGCGATTGATTCGGAATTGTACTGTCGTCAATTGGACAAATTACACGAAGCAATCAAGCAGAAGCACTCAGAATTGGTGAATCGTAAAAATGTTGTCTTTCACCATGCAATGTTAGACCACTTACATCATTGGTCACTTCGCAGAAATTGTTGCAGCTTAGGTGGGATGTATTACTACCCATTATATTTATTTGACCTTGCGCCATCAGATTACTATTTAGTTCGTTCCTTGCAAAATTTCTTAAAAAGAAAAAAATTCGATTCTGATGAGTCTATTAAATGGTACCTGGATCAGTTTTTCGCCGATAAGAAGCAGAAGTTCTATGAGACCGGAATCATGAAACAATCAAACAGATGGCAAAAGGTCATTGAATTAAACAGACAATATATATTATAGAATAAAGTTTTTGCTTTGTATGAAAAAATCGCTTTTCATTTATAGAGAAAGAAATCGATGACTATCTTGCCAGCCTGATAGTTAATTCATAATTAAAATATCGAAAAAAAATTGAAAACCATTATAAATAATATATATCGCATAACAGTGAGATTTTTCTTTTATTCCCTTCAGGGTTACTTTCAACGAATACTAAGTATCAGGAGCACCAACGTAGCAACGACTCTGTCGATAGTTTCGATGTTTGGTTGCATGATCCTGGCGATACCGTCGGCCTTGATCGGAGTGGTCGCTCGCGCCACCGATTGGTCCTTAATCCCAAACTACAACAAGACCTTTTCTACGGATGACGGAAACGCGGCATTGCCGATGGTCCTGCGATATCTCACACCTCAATGGGTGTCCTTCGTCGGTAAGTTGGTGCATCCGATAGAAAGATATATCTATTGGCCGTGGAGCGCATAAGGGTGCGCATAAGGGTTATCTTTATAAATAGTCGATCGACGGAACCTACTCCCTATTATAAATAATCTCACTTTTGCTTCCCGATGAAAGGAAAAAGAACGCTCGGACGCAACGTTCCGTTATTATTTTTAAGGTCTCGGTGCGATCTCCGCGGCAGTGATGTCCTCGGCGGACTCCAGCATTCTCGCCAGCAGCTCCATGTTCACCAGGAACGTTTACAAGCTTACGATAAGGCCAAAGGTAAGCGTGACTGTCGCTCTTTGATCAACGGTGAGTGACGATTGTCGATAAGCGTCACTATAAAGCCTCTCCTTTTCCTCTTTGTGATAGGCATCCGAGCGAGAGTTGAATTGGGTGCTGAGAATTTCTGTAATTATGGTTTCCATATTGTCCACCCTCGTCGCACTCACAGTCAGCAGTGTGTACTATCTCTCGTAAGTAAAACTCGTTGTGTATATTTCATCCGTTGCTGTTCAATTCTCGATTGTCGGGAGTAGATGTATAGTTATCGCGACTAACACTGACGAGATATATTGCATTTGTGTCCGAAGGTATCTGTGCTCGGATCTCGTATACGTCGTTCTGTTTCCGCAACTGCTGGCCGTCGTTCACTGGCCCTCTTTGGTAGACACTTACGGCTGTCTAGCGGGCTACTTTATCGCAATCACTCTGCGTCTCGCTGGTTAGTATTAGTTAGTATTAAATCGCCAAATTCTCGATGTACAGTTACATGGACAACGGGTATCTATTAGGAAGTTGCATCGAAAACCGTTGTTTTTTGTGGTTTTGAGCATTTATTTCAATAACAAAATGTATGAATATATCAATCAAAGTATTTACTCTCGGAAGATATGAATTTTTCCCACTTTTCTGACAGAAGTTGAATTTTGCAACGAAAGAACGGTCTTTCTTTTGAGCCAATTTATTTAGCAACCCAATTTCTTACTTCTCCGTAATTATGAAGATATGTATCTTTCAAAGCGTGTTGCATTGATCGGAACAGATGGGAATTGCTTGGGGCCAGTTCCGGAGAATACGCTGGGTGTGAGAGAACCTCCCATTCGAGCTCCATCAATGTTTGTTTCGTGTATAGCGACATGGGGCCGAGCGTTGTCATGGAGAAGAATTACTTTTCGGCGATTTGATGCAACTGATGGTCGTTTATGCATCAAATTATCATTCAAACGCTCAATTGTTGCCGATAAAGTTCGGCGGTAATTCTTCCGTTCGGTTTCAATAACTCATAATATACGACACCCTCCATATCCCAGCAAATAGAGAGCATTGCTTTGTGATCGCGGATGTTTCGCTTTGGTGTCGACGTTGATGGTTGGCTGAAAACAACCCATACTTTCTTGCGTTTCGGGTTGAAATAGATCCATTTTCCATCGTCGATACGCCACAAGAAACTCTTCTTTTTATTGCAAGCAAAGAAATCGAAATGTTTAACACTAGAAGGACCGGATTGGACGACTCCTCTAGAAGGATCGTAGGAGCCAATTTGGCTCCAAGCATATCTTTTCGTAAATAACAAATAGAAAGAAACGAAACGTATAGGTAATCATATAATTTAAAATTTTAACAATAATATCACTAATTTATTGAACAAAAAAAATTGTTAGTATATTGAATTTTTTTAGTCTTTGATGAAAGACTAAATGTGAAATACAACGCCGTACTACAGGAAACGCATCTGTACATAATTTTCTTTGTACATTTACTGCACACAAATTTTTTACACGAGCATTTTCCAACTTTAGGGCTTTTCTTACAGTTTTTTTATTTGACAAAATGGTCGTTTGCCTGAAACATCGTCGGATTCAGTTTTTTGTTTCCGGTTGAATTAAAATTTTGAGACTTTCGTCTTTAGGCAACATATGGTGCACTCAACTCTTCCGCGAGATTTTGTAAAAAGATTCTTCTTGATATTTTTTTACATGCAACTTCCTTATACAGAGTGTTCATTTGAAAACTTTCCAGCTAATTATCTCGAAAACTATGAAAGATATTAAAAAAAGCTAAAACACGTATTCCATGATTTCGAAGGGGAAAGAGAATGGTATTATCAATTTTTTATTTGGAGAGCATTTTCTAGGTCATTTGAAGGTCAATCTTGTTTTTTAAAATGGAAACCTATATTTTTTATTACGGAATATTATTCTACGTAAAAAAACCAGCAACTTCTGTAGGAGATATTTCTTTGTCTGAGCACTATGTTGAAAGATACTTAAGAAAATAGTAAGGGATAGTTACTGCGTCAAATTTGTCATTTATTATAACAGATGTTCAAAATGTCCAAATGAACACTTTGGGAGGTAACATAGCTGCAGTTCTACGAGCACACTAATCTTCTGCTGCATAAATAAAAATAATCTCAACTCGTTCTTCTAAAGAATACATCATTTTATAAAGTTTAATTATGTGATATCCCTTTAGGTAATCTCTGATATAAGTTTCGTACTTGTCTGAATAATACACTGTGAAAGACAGAAAGGAATTGATTCAGTACAACGTAAACAAATGGTCAAAGGAGGTCAACTTTGTTTTCGAAAGATACGTGTTAGTATGATCGGGAAATATCAACGATTTGAGTCAAAGAATTGTACAGGAATGTAGAACTATTCCAACAGATACCTTCCAAATGATTCGTTCAGAATTTCAAAATCGTCTTTATTATTGTTTAGCAAACAACGGAGAACGTTGTTTTAGCTTTTTTTAATATCTTTCATAGTTAATTAGAGATAATTAGCTGGAAAGTTTTCAAATGAACACCCTGTATACAGAGTATCTGTAAACCCCATCCCTGAATCTCGGAAACAGCTTTAAGTATGGAAAAATGTTTCAGATTAAAGTTGTAGGATATTGAGGGGCACATATGATAAAAATATGGACTTGACCTTGAGTGACTTTATCAAGGCCAGGTCAATGTGATCGATGTTTTCTTAAATGGAACTTCCTATTTTTTATTACATATTCTTGTAGCTCTTGTTGAGACGTTTTCAAAGCACTACCTATTTTTGCTTTTTGCGCAAGCGATTCCCAAGATATGAAGCTTCAAAGTTGACATACCGCCGGCATTCGTATTATCCAAGGTGTACCGCGTGGAGGTTGCACGGTCGGATTTACACCTCTTTTGTGTGTGTGTGTGTGTGTGTGTAATGGCAAGAAAATAATTAATATAAGGGAAAGGAGAAGAAGAATGGTGGAGAGAGAGAGAGAGAGAGAGAGAGAGAGAGAGAGAGAGAGAGAGAGAGAGAGAGAGAGAGAGAGAGAGAGAGAGAGAGAGAGGGAGAGGGAGAGGGAGAGGGAGAGGGAGAGGGAGAGGGAGAGGGAGAGGGAGAGGGAGAGGGAGAGGGAGAGGGAGAGGGAGAGGGAGAGGGAGAGGGAGAGGGAGAGGGAGAGGGAGAGGGAGAGGGAGAGGGAGAGGGAGAGGGAGAGGGAGAGGGGGAGGGGGGAGGGGAGGGGGAGGGGAGGGGAGGGGAGGGATAGGGGGAGGGGGAGGGAGAGGGAGAGGGAGAGGGAGAGGGAGAGGGAGGGGGGAGGGAGAGGGAGAGGGAGAGGGAGGGGAGGGGGAGGGGGAGGGGGAGGAAGAGGAAGAGGGAGAGGGAGAGGGAGAGGGAGAGGGAGAGGGAGAGAGAGAGAGATACTACGGGCGTGACGAATCGTGGGGTCTTTATCTCTACTGTGACACACACACGCACGCACACATACACGTACACGTACACACACACACACACACACACGTACGCACGCACGCACGCACGCACGTACGCACGCACGCACGCACGCACGCACGCACCCACGCACGCACGCACGCACGCACGCACGCACGCACGCACGCACGCACGCACGCACGCACGCACGCACGCACGCACGCACGCACGCACGCACGCACGCACGCACGCACGCACGCACGCACGCACGCACGCACGCACGCACGCACGCACGCACGCACGCACGCACGCACGCACGCACGCACGCACGCACGCACGCACGCACGCACGCACGCACGCACGCACGCACGCACGCACGCACGCACGCACGCACGCACGCACGCACGCACGCACGCACGCACGCACGCACGCACACATACACACGCAAACACAAGAGGTGTAAATCCGACCGTGCAACCTCCACGTGGTACACCTTGGATAATGCGAATGCCGACGGTATGTCAACTTTGAAGCTTCATATCTTGGGAATGGCTTATGCAAAAATCAAAAATAGGTAGTGTTTTGAAAACGTTTCAACAAGTGCTAGAGGAATATGCAATAAAAAATAGGAGCTTCCATTTAAGAAAACATCGATCACATTGACCTGGCCTTGATAAAGTCACTCAAGGTCAAGTCTGTATTTTTATCATATGTCCCCCTCAATATCCTACAACTTTTGTCTGAAACAATTTTCCATATTTAAAGCCGTTTCCGAGTTCCAGAGGTGGAGTCGGACTTTATAGATACCCTGTATAATCCATGCATTTATAGTAGCAAAATCCAAAATATTATAAAAAGTATAAACTAGCCAACGGCGAGATGCTATACTATATGCATATCTATGTGTACATATGTATGTATATAATGGTTTTTTAAGTAAACAAATAGATAAAAATATTTATTTATCTATTTAAAATTATAAAATTTGTAAATAAAACCGTAAAATATATGAGAATGCAATATCAGGTATAAGGGACCTAAATTGACTCCAACGGTCCTTCTAGGCAATTAAATAAAAATCCTACTATCTTATATAAATGAAAAATTTTTTTACCAAAATTAAGAACTTGAATTAAGAAAAATGATGAAAAGTTATAAAAGGACATCACGTGGAGGCAAAGTTGAAAAAAGTTATAACAGTTTCAATTTCGCGAGGAGCCAAATTGGCTGCCTCGGTCTTTCTAGTGTTAAACGATTAGCAGTGGCATTTTCGGTCAATTCATGTGACAACCATTTCCTTTCTTTCTGGATCTTTCCCATGGCTTGTAAATGTTGTGAAATGGTTGATTTGTTGACTTCGAGCTGTTGAGTCAATTCTTTGAGCGTTTGAGCAAGGTTTTCTTTCAATAGAGCTTGCAATTGTTCATTTTCAAACTTTTTCGTCTGATCTGGCTGTTGTTTGTCGTGAGTGTCACAATCACCACTTTTGAGTTGTCGAAACCAATCTACACATACTGTTTCCGATGGAGCAAATTCACCATAAGTTTTCGCAAGCAATCGCGATGAACTTCAGCTGTATTTTTTTTTTCAAATCAAAATAGTATAGAAGTACACATCGGAAAAACAATTTATTGCGTTCCATTTTAATTCGGCTATAGAAAAGCACTTGTGTAAACAAAGGATGGCGTCTGCTGACTGAATTTTAGTGGGAAATGTTCACACTTCAAAATGACATAAGAGACATCTATTACTGTCCTCAGCGTATGCAGCTAGAGCCATCTACATGTGAACAGCGGCTTTCAATCCAACCTTCTGATAAAAAGCTTGTATTATTATTGTATTAAAGATTACACTTAATTCTATGATATTTATACTGTATCTAAAATATTTATTTATACTTAATTAAGATATGAGTTATATCTTCAATATCTATCAACAGTTGCGTCATATGAGTTATTTTTTTAGAAATCTCTTCGATTTTTATACGATTCAATTCTTAAATATGCACTCTTTTAGGAGGTGAACGGGGACTCGGTATACCTGCATTAATCGAGTATCCGTTTTACGACGCGAGAACGCACACTCAGAAATTTCCCTTCCGCACTGCTGCCATGATAATTGCCCTCTTCACCCAACTTTGCACAAGCTTCCTCACCAGGAATCTGCTCGGCAAGGGTTACTTCCCTGAATGCTGTGACGTGCTAAGCGTTTACTCACCTGGCAAGTCCAAGGAGCCATCGGGCGTCGTACAAAGTAGCTCCGGAGCCGCCCTCATGGATTCGTCCTCGGTAAACGCGTGTTCGAAGTTCTCCTCTCGCTCTCTAAATATCTTCGAATGAAATTCAACTCGGGAAGTAGTGTGCCAATTGAATCACTCGAATACGAATGACTTTTCACTCACAGCGAATAAATTCTCCATTCTGAGTCGTCGAGTGAATATTTTTATACAAAATGGAAGAATGAATCTGATGCACTTTCTACTGTCACTTCCAGAAATCAACGTCGGGCATAGACTCATGCGACGGCGTCGGCAGCTACGACGACGACAGGACCTGCGGTCACGACGATGCTGCCGACAGCGGTGGCGGTGATGTGGAGCCAGTCGGCAACGATCTCGCTGAAAGCTTAAGGGCAAAAGGTGTCGTCAACACGATTGCGCAGAGAGTGGCGAGCCAGAACTTGCAAAATCTGCAGAACTTGCAGAACTTGCGAAACGCGATGACGCCGGCGCGACACGCCACCCCCACGGTGGCGAACCATTACACGCCAGTCCCCGGCGACGCGTGCAGAGGTCAGATCCTCGGGGTGAGGAATTTGCGCGCCCCCCTCGGTCAAGTGCTTTCGCCGACGAGGTCGATTGGCGTGTTAGCGACGCCGCCGATCACCCCGTGCGCACCATCTTATGCCAAGGTGGGCTGCGAGCTCGGGCCGAGCAGTGAGAAGCCACGTGACAGCGACCGGACGATCAGCATCGTCGACCGGAGCAACATGGAATTCAATCTGAACGCGAACACCCAGGAGAATGCTTCCGCCAGCATTGGTCCGAAGAAGAGCGTGAAGGGCGTGAAGCTGGTCGGTATGGAGGGCGGTACGTTGAGGAGGCCGTCGCTGCAGGTGAGGGACGACCTCGACGACGTGTCCTCGTCATTGTGAAGCTGTGCGACCTGTGACCTGCGATCAGAACCTCGCGCATTTTGTTTTGTATTCTTAGTTATATATTTCAGTCAACAGCGGAAGGATTACGATCTTTTGCCTTTCCCGGTTGAATGCCGGTTGATGCGTTCTAAGATTTATTGAAACATGAAAGTGTCGCGATCTTTCCCCTATTGGTTACACCCGCATCTCTTTTGATTCTCTTATCGATTAAGTTCTCGAAGTATATTTGTTTTACGTAGCGTATGTGTGTATGTTTGATTGATTTCGTTGGTTCTCCGTGAGAACTGTCTATCAATAAAGTAGACACGGATCGAGGGAGTTCTCCGAGAGAATTTTGCAAGATCCCGAACCCCGCGAATGCTGGCATGCTTCCGTTTGAGTAGACTCCCGCCTCTCCACACCTTCCTGCCTTGTATAATTTTACTTTCGTGTCGAGTCGATTGTCTGTAGATCAAGCATAGTGTAGATGTAGATACGTGATGTCGGAATAAAATAAGGGCGTTTATCGAGCACGCGTTGTTATTATCGACGGCCTTTTGTATCGCGTGTCCTCAGGGCACGTTCTCGCCGACGCCGTCGGTGGAACTGGTCCACATTCTGGACAGGAGGCAGAGTAGCGGCTCGTATGGGCCCGGTTCTCTCTCCCCTGTGCCGTCGATGGGAATTGAGGCGTGCAAAACTCATGGGACCGCGACGGAGGGTCAAAGTGGAAACGAGCATTGCAGGATAAAGAGGGGCATTGTGCGGCATCACAGGTATCTATAAAGGAAAGCGTTTAGACCAGAGTTTCCTAATCTTTTTTGTATTTTGCACCCTTAAAAATTTATTAATGAACCTTTGCACCCTCTACAAAAAAAATTATTCATATGTTTTATGGTAAAAATTAGTTGTTAGAATTTTTAGGTAAGAAGTTAAAAATCAAAAAGATATTTTAATAATATATTTATTTTTTAATAATGTAAAATATATAATTTTATAACAGTACAAAATATATAATTTTTAATAACATTTTTTTTTTAGTTTGATGGTAAAAAATGCCGGATTATTCCAGAATTTATCTTAATCATTATTAATTATAATCACTTTTCCTCGCAAGAATGCTTTTTCGCCGTCCCCGGTTGGGAACCCCTGGTTTAGATGCTGAGATGTATACAAAATTCGAGCTGGGCCGAGTAAAATCAATCGCGTGATCCTTGAGATATTATTAGAAGATTGAATTAATTCTAGTTTTATTTTGTCCATTTTTTTATCTTTATTTTAAAGAAATAGTTAAGTTTACATCAATCAAAATATTTTCCGTCGTTAGCTGTGGCTTTTTCTCATCTTTCTGGAAATATAGCGATTTCGCGACGATAGAACAATCTGTCTTTCGAAGCAATCCAATCAAACACCCATTTTTGCACATTCACCTAATTATTGAAGTGTGTATCTGCCAAAGTGTGTTGCATCGATCGGAATAGATAGTAATTAAATGGTGCTAGATCTGAAGAGTACGCTGAGTGCGGAAGGATTTCCCCTTCAACCTCTAACAATGTTGGTTTAACGATTGAAGTAACATGTGAACGAGCATCGTGCAAAAGAATCGCTTTGCGTCTATTGCTGGCTATCGCTGGCCTTTTTTGCATCAATTCAACATTCAATCTGCTCAATTGTTGGTATCGCTTTCCCGTAACTGTTTCATTCGGTTTTAGAAGCTCATAGTACACTGCACCTTCCATATCCCACATACAAATACAGAGCATTGCTTTGTGACCATGAATATTCCGTTTTGGTGTCGATGTTGATGGCTGTCCTGGATTAACTCATGATTTTTTCACTTTGGATTATCAAAATAAATCTACTTTTTATCTCCAGTTACAATTCGTCACAAAAAACTTTTTTCTGTCTGGTAAGCAGATATGGCGATATTCAAATGATTTGCACTGAATAGCAAATTTCAAATGAATAGCACTTTTAGTTAATTCATGTGAAACTCATTTGCCTTCCTTTTGAATTTTTCCCACGGCGTGGGCGTTTAAAAATTGTTGATTTATCGACATTGAGTTGTTCAGTCAATTGTTTTTCCGTTTGAGCAGTATTTTCATTCAATAATGCTTGCAATTCAGAATCTTGGAATTTTTTTGGTTGACCAGTACGTTCTTTGTTATTCAAATCGAAATTATCACTTTTGAATCGTTTTTGAAACCAATTTATTTGATTTTTTTCAAATCAAACAAAAAAAGTAATGAACGCTGAAAATGCAATTTTGTACAATCCATTTTAAAGGTGTATAAACAATGAAACTATCAATGACAATAACGCGCGAACTGTCACATGTCATAGAGAAATATCAAATCTTTCAGTGTTGCCAGATTTCAACATTCATACTAACCATTAACTTGTTACTAAAGCCATCTATTGCTAGGGACCAGAACTAATTTTACCTCCTAATAATTGTTAAACCTTACACGAGTCCTTACACCCTATATATTGATAAAAAGTATAAAAATTGCTATTAGCAAAAAATGAAAGATTATCTCGAGATATGGATCACTTTATCAATAAGATAAATAATAAATATATATAAAATAATAATAAAGAAAAGAGCGGCTGTCGGCTATAGTCGATGCTCGTGCCGAAAAGGTTAACAAAAAAAGTAGGGATCGTCGAGAGAGAACTGAGGTGAGAAATTCGAAAACGAAAGACGAATCGGCGCAGAAGATACGATCATTGAACGCTCTCTCCGATCATGCTCTCAAACGTTTGCGCAGCTTCAATGACACGGGAGATCGAGCGCTGACGACGCTCGCCAGGCAGCCGACGTATCCGTCGATGCCGTTGAGGCCGGAGGACTGTCGCATGACATTGGCGAAGAAGGACAAGAGGCTGTCCACTATCGGCAGGCATTCGTCGGTGACAAACGAGAACGAGCTCGGCAACACGAGCAGCATGGTTGTGTGCAGCCCCACGTACGGCATGTACAATTCGGCCACAAAAAGCTCCAACTACTTCGTCACCGATGACGAGGCCGTCAGCAGATTTTAAGAGGACGGTAGGATGTGTGCGAAAGCTTCATTCTCTCAATTTCTTGGAGTGAAATCTCGAAATATTGATATTTTAAAATATTAAACGGTAATATCAGGCATTCTGGTTAAATTTCGACTGGTTTTCACGAAGATTTCACTCCGAAAAATTTAGAGAGCAGTACGACCTTGCTGCAAAAGATGCGCCACGCATTCCGAGAACACGAGGAACAAGGACAATCGTAAAACCCGCCTCATCGCCATCTCTTAATCATCGCACCTTGATTTCATTCGTTAGACTCGGTGGATTCCGTCGGATTATCTTCACAAAGATCACGGGACTCACGGTGAAAACGTGGGGTTTCCATTTTGCGACTTTACGAGTCCTTATTCTTCTTGTGAAGCGAAAAAGTTCCTTTAAATTCATTTTAATTCATTCACGCTCCCGCAGAGTTTGCGCGTGTACAGTTGTAAAACGTAACGAGTACTTAAAGGTGAAGCTTTCGTTTCCTCTTCTGTGCGAGTAATTCTCTCGTTCACTTCCATCTCGTAAGAAGCATTGGCTTCATTGATCAGCCATCTTGTATATTGACGCGAGACTAAATTTGTAGCCCTTAGAGAAGTCTCACTACTTACCAATCTTCAGACTGACAAATATATACGGAACCAATAGCTCGTAGGTGTTGTAATCAATTTTGTACAAATCACAGAAAAGAGGATCTCCTCCTTCGCAACATTCCACTTGAGTCGGTAAGTTAAAGACCGGAGGAAACAGTCTCGTTTGATAAAAAACTGAGAGGTTTCGGCGGTCTGTTATGATAAATATTAGGCGATATTCAATGTTTTTGTATACATACGCACATGTTTCATTCAGGTATGCACATAGACACGTATCCATTTACGAAAAAAAAAAGAAAAAAACAAAGAGAAAGTTTTACGGGACGCACGTTTTCCGTAAATCCCAGGTAATTACTAGTGGTAAAGTAACACACTTAATGATAATTTCCGATACATGTAAAAGAGAGCAATGTACACGCTTATTGTTCCCCTAATCTAATAGAAAAGAGGGAGATATAAGAAAGGGAAAAAGGGAAAAAAGAAAAATAAGAAGAAAAGAAGAAGTACAGCCTGGTAAGCGCGGTCGAGACAACGAGCAACGTTGTAACATAGGCGGCGCCAGAACTATTCATGCGGGTGGGCCACAGGTGGGCCGATATTTATGTATGGGTGGGCCATATTTATTATATATTATATATCATTTTATCATTCATTTTTATGTTTCTAACCGTTGCGCTCTGTCTCTGGGAGAAATTAACTATGAAGATAGAATTTAAAATTAATTGTAGAATTTTAATTATAAAAATAACTTCACGTAAAAAAGCTGAAAACTTGGACAGAATAGGACAGCATAATTATGCTAAAATTTTCTAAAATTTTAGGGTGGGCCAGGGCCCACCCTTGGCACCGTCTATGGTTGTAATTTTCGTCGAGCGGACGAGCGGAGCTCAAGTTGTTGGTAACAGAACGTCCAAAGAATGTCACGTGCAAATTTACGATATGTCACAACAAGAAAGTACGATATTTTTCCACCGACGCGATATATCTCGTTAGCTCCGTAGTGTTATTGTACAACTAGTTATGTGCGCGAAAACGAGTTCACGGTTAATCGGTGTTACATTAGTGGGAACGCAGATCGTTCTCTCCTCGGCTCAATACCGTATTTAAGAAGACTGAATACGAATGATATCTAGAGGCGATCGCTTCGACGCCGACATCGGAACGTTTTCACGTTCAAGAGATGTTCGCGATGAGTTTTCTTTTTTTTAGATCTTTTTTTACTTTCTTTAAGCCGCGAGAAGAGCATGATTCTTCGTAAGAATTGAATTTTTATTTATTGTAATTAATCCTATAAATTTTTGAGGCGAGAATTAAAACGTTAAAACAGAAAATATTGTAATTCTTTCTTTTTTCCTTCTTTTCATATAATTATCATCATTATCTTCATATAATTATCATATATAATTTGCATTTTATAATTTTTTAGAAACTTTACATCCACTTCACTGAATGAATATCACCGTATAAATAAATAAGTAAATAAATAATTATCGAGATATGACGACAAAGAGGAAGGACGTACGTTTGCGTCGTCTGTAAATATCATTCTTATACGGCTATTAATTTATATACCTTTCCACTGTAAATGAGATCATTCGACTCTTAGCGATTAACACGACGAAGACGAATCGTAGCTGTACTTAAAGAATGAGTGAGACTCTTCATACTCGACGAATCGTTCTTTAGAATCTCTTGTATGTACTTTTGTAAGACGATGTAAAATAGTAGACGCAGCGAGAGGTGAACATCGAATACCTGCAGCAGTATTATTAAACTTAGGCACGAACGACTTAATCGCGCTCGTGGGAGGGGGAACCTCGTGAAGGACCGCTTTGGCAGTCCTTCGTAGTTCTAGTGTGTCGTACTTACTTCTTTAAGGTAGACTTATTGCCACGACTCGACGACCCGATGATCGCAGAATCTGCCTTTATTTTATCGTACATATTAAACTTGTTCACGAAAATAGAAACTGATTAGCGGTCGTATTGCAGCAAAAACTTTCAACTGTTTGCAAGACCGATGCGAATTTTTACGCTGATTTTTATCGTTACTCACTTCAAGTATACTTCTCTTTCCGGTTAGTTATATCTTGTTATTGTCTCTACGATGCTCGCATTATTTCGAAATAGTTAATGTGTCTATACGTAATCACTTTTTTCGGTTTCACGCGTGTGCGACCATCGGAGTTTTTGTAAGAAAGGTACTCTTAATAACGTACGCGTTTATACCTGTATCACGTATTATAAACATAATATAATTGATAAATAGTACGAGAGAGAGAGAGAGAGAGAGAGAGAGAGAGAGAGAGGAGAGAGAGAGAGAAAGAGAGAGACACAAGTTTTCGTTTTCAGATAAAGACGCAATCGATATTGTGCAACGTGAATTATGTGCCAAAGCGTAGAATAAAATAAACGTCGTCGGCGTGTCCTCCGCATCGATGGTTCATATCGAAGAGAATTTGTTTCTCGAGGATTCAAATTAGCACGAACAAGACGGACTCAAGTTTCAATGCCAAGGAACCGATTTTTCGTATCCCTTGGCGGACATGAGACCCCTTGTGGAATACCTTCGAATAACATTTGCTCACTTCAACGCACAGTTTTACCGAAATATTAATAATCTTACGTTTTATTGTTACAATCAATCACGCTAATTAACAACGTCGAGAGTTGAGTCCGTCGTTTCCGTCAGTTTCTATCCTCGATTTACACACATACTGAGGATCAATCGTGCAATTCATGCGCGAAAAATTAATAGACTAAAACGCTTGGACAAATCTGCCTTAAGAACTAGCAATTTCTTTTCGACACGAGAAGGATACTTTTATCGGATTAGCTGTGCGTGAACATTTGACGAGAAAGTAGATGAACTTAATTGACGCGATTGATCTTCCGAATCCACTCGATTATGAACGGCACGGCTGACGTACAAGTCTTAGCTACGTAAGCTTGCCTTAACGTAAGAGTAATCGTTCATTATGATGATAAAAAAAGTCAAGAAAGAAAAGAGAAAGGGAGGGGAGAGAGGGAGAGAGAGGGGGGGACAGAGAGAGAGAAGCGTTAACGTCCGAGACTCGTTCTTAGATATTTTCGTCATACTATATAAATCGCTCACACATTAATTAATTAGTCTCTATAGTGTTATTACGAATATCTGTACCACGATCGCAATGGTCAAAGGTAAGGGATCGCTGTAAGGAAATAATAACGTCGCTCAAAATACCGAATAAAACAGACACGAACGCGTACTCCGAAAGAATTTATTCATCATTTATTTAGAAATGTTAAGCTTACTTTTACAATCTATCTTTAGTAGCTCCTCAAATTATTTATTACATTTCTTAGAGACTTTGTGTAAAAAAGTGCACTGAGAGAAAGAACGATTGATCTTATTAAAAATATTGTTATTTTCAGCGACAACTACTCTCTGTTGTTTTAATAAAAAAGCAGTAACAATAAAATAGATTACCATTAATATTATCATCATATTTTTACCATTAATATCATAATAGCATTTAACAGTAAAAATAGATGTCAACTATAATTCTTTCACTTGCCATTTAGTATATATATATATATATATATATATATATATATATATATACACCAAACATTTCTTTTCTCTCAATCTAGAATGACAAAGTCAAGAAGTAGTCTGATATTCGAATGATTCATCGCTCACTTGGAACGAATTTTCCATTCCGATATATGTTTCGATTCGCGATTAAAGAGTCAATATATGATGTATTCCATTGTCACAAGAACATAAATTGACTTTAATCAATTGGGACTTTAATCAATTTACTTTTGCGATTACTTTTGCGAATGACATTTTATTTATCATTCGATATTTCACTTATATTTTAGAAATACCGTTAGAAATGCCTTTCTAAGAAATTTAGAGAGCGCAAATCTCAAATCGGATTGGTTCTTTCACGGAACCGATCGAAGTCCAAACGACATGTTCTCCATTTGCATTTCTGCTCGTGCGACTTGTACCAAAGATAAGAATGTAAAGCCACATCATCTCGATAAGTGAAATTCTTTGGTGCTTTGTACAAGGAGCCAAAATACATCGCAAAGGAACACGACGGATATTGTTTGCGTGTGACTTCTTCTATGCGAATGTTCGAGATTCGAGCTTATCCTAAATTCGATTTCAATCGTGAGTCAACGCTGCATAATTTGAATTTTAGAAAGGAAAGTACAACTGGCTCATGTAACAATTGCAAATCATGGAAAAAATCTTCGGGAAGTGCAGGATCGATAATTTTTGCTTAACAATAAACTAAATTAAAAAAGGATGATACATCTGTTTTGTAGTTAGTATTGCGCGGAATCGGACTTATCCGTATATTTAGACATTAAAAAAAGATATATATACAAAGTGTTTAGAAAAAAGGGCTCAGGATTTTAAGGGTAAATAATACAAAATGAAGGGAAAATGTCCTAATAAACGTGGGTCGAAGAATTACTATTGTTGGAGTTGTGAGCAATTATTTATTTTAATTAAAGCAAGTGAGACTTACTTGTTTCTGGTGCTTACAAAGTTTACAGAAGATTTTCTGCATGTCCTATTTCCATACACGTTTCACATCTTTGTACCATTTGACAGGCATTCTGTATTCTCTGATGTAATTCGTCTGCGTTATTTATCGGTGAAGAATATACCTTGCAAATCATGGAAAAAATCCTCGAGAAGTATAGGATCGATAACTTTTGCTTAACAATAAATCAAACTAAAAGAAAACTTTTAAGAAAACCCTATAAAAAAAAGTTCAGGAGATTTAAATGATGTGCGTACTATCTGCCCTTAAACTCTTTTTTTCTGAAAGCGAGGGGGCCATGAGACTGGCCCACCCCGCTCGAACCATCTTCCACCGAAGGATTTATTTAAGTGTTAGACAAATTATATCGGAGAATACAAAATGCCTGTTTAATAGTTAGAACAAAATTAAGAATTTTTGAAAGATTTTACAATTTTATGGTACGAAAATGTGAAATATGTGCAGAAATAAGAGATATAGAAAACAGCATAGTATAGATGTAGACATGTAGAAAATCTTCTATAAGCTCCAAAAGCGAATAAGTCATTTGTTTTAATTAAAATAAATAATTGCTCATAATTGATTATATCAGTTTTTCGACCTATGTTTATTGGGGCTTTTTCCCTCCATTTTGTGAGTACTATCTGCCCTTAAACTCTTTTTTTTTAAACATTCTGTATAAATTACATAAATCGCACCGTATATATATATTGCCTACAATACAATTTAGTACAATTCAATATATATATATATACATACATACATACATACATATATATATGTATATATATATATATATATATAAAATAATATAACAGTATTACGTTCATATAAAATGTATGTGTATAATAATAGAATATGTTCCTTTTAATAACTACGATAACTTTATTAAGGACGATATTCACATAATCTAATCTCGTATTTAAGATTATCTTAAAATCAGATTATAAATGCTGATCTTTAATCTGTTATTAAAAGAGAGATAACATATAGTGATTTTTACAAGTTCTTAATAACTATGGAGATTTGCGAAATTGGAGAATTGAGGTCACTTTTGACTAATTGTTAAATATTTCAACAATTTAAAACTCACATGTACAGTCGACAAAGCTGAGCCTAGTAATCAATTAAAACGAGAACTTCGGAACGATAAATATTTCTGTAAAGTTACACACGTATGGAGAAACTGTTTGAGTAATAAAATGATATTATCTAATAGGACAATATAATAATATAGTATATCCAAATATAATAATTATAATACTAATAATGCATAGCCTTATTTAATTTTTTTTTTCAAGTAACACGAAGCCGTTTTATACATTTTTGTGAACCATACTCTTTTGAAGATTCAACGAAATGATTGTAATGGTGATCTTCAATGTATCAATTTTATCTCGATATCCACACTCGAAAACGATAGTTAATAAATTTAAAAGTCGCTCGTAAATAGAATTTATATACGAAATGCAAATATAAGGCCGAGTAAAAGGCCAAATAAAAAGGTTAAAGGATTGCCTAAAAACATAAAGTAACAGCCAAGTCACTCGATTACTGGGTGACTTTTCTCTCATACATAGAATTCTTTCACTCTATTAATTACCGAGTAAATAATATAGTTTTTTGCGAAATTGAGGAATTTCGCAAGAAAACTATTCGTTCATCAATGGAACTTAATATGTCACAATATGTTAATAACAAAAAGTGAATGATTCATTATGATTGATGAGCGATACCCGTTTCCACAAAAATCGATTGAGATTTAATCCGAGTTTTGGTCTGAATTAAGTTTATAAACTTAGCTTAAGATCTCGTCGATGTTAACAGAAACTGGAATGAAACGTTGTACTCTTGCATAGATTAGGAACCTATTCTATAATTTAGATTAAAGTTTCATTTTCGTAAAAGATGAAATATCAATTTATTCTGAGCAACAATATTTTCACTCTCGCCTCGAGTGCGGTTTCACTGCAGAAAATTGAAGGAAGCGTACAATCTGTTATTTTACACGTAAAATAACTGTTCGTCTCGAGATGGAAAGAGAAGATGATTCCAGAAAGTAACGCGCATCTTCTTCTCGCTTGGAAAAAATTCTGTCCATACTTCATAAATATTTAAAGATGCGCTTATATTGTATTTTGGTATCTTTTTTTGTATCTTCGAAACAGACTTGTTCCAATATTAAATAGTATAAAGACTTCGTAAAATATAATTATAACATTAATCGAAACATAGTCGAAACAATTAACTGTACAATTAAACTCGAGCAGTTTACAGACAGAAGCAAAAGACGCGCATGAGCTCGATCGAATTGCGATGCAACTTTAAGATGGAGTCTTTGCGACTTCGTCTTTGGTTCTTCGATCGTCGGAACGAGAAAGTAAATCGGTAAGTTGTTTTTATGTGTGAGATGATGAAATTAACGAACTCTAGGAAAATAAATGCCAGACTTCGCGGTATCATACATGCAACCTAGTTATATCGAATAAATGTCGCGGAAATGAGTACTACGACATGAATACGAATATATTCTTTAACAAGACAGGTGATTATTCGTATCAAAAATAAAAAGACAATCTACATTTTAATGTGTCAGTTATCCATGACGCCAGAAACAAGTGCCAAAAACTTGTGTCGTTAATGTTCAGCGGGAATTAATGTTCAGTAAACGCTCAGTGATTATCGTCGATACTTTGAATTTTTTGATAGACTCAAAGTATAACAATCAAGAGCATTAATCGTTAAGTGCTAACTTTAGCCGAACGCAGACGTTTTCAATTTGTCAATTCTGGTTCGAAGTAGCTAATCCAAATGAGAACGTCGACACAAAAGACCAATACGAACACAAGCATGTGTCGCACGTGCAAATCAAAAGCAAATGAAAACCTATTTTGATCATTATCAACTTTAAGGATGAGACTCTTGTATCAACTAGAGATAAAGTCTAATCTCCGAATACGCAAGTCCGAACGTCGTTTCACGCGAGAATTATAAACATGTGATTCATAAAATCACCGTGACGTCGATATTCAGGCTGACTTTTGCCAAACTGACTAGTTTAATTGACGATTTCAAATCGCTATCATATTCGCAAATATTATCAACTGTATTTTGCTTAAAACGTTGGATACCGACGTAATGCTTCCTTTGTAATTTACAGGGTTTTCCTTTATTTGCTTGTATAGAATTGCAAATACTCCTATACAGTGAAAGTACAAGTCTTACAACTGAGCAGAAGAAACAGTGTCAATTACGAAAGTAGAATTACGTCAGCATCTTCTTAAAATGCTAAACAAATAGAAACTTTTGTTAAAATGAATGAAAAATTTGGACCTCCCGATGATCGTTGGAGAAGAAATAATGTACAAGTAAAACTCCATATCAGTAATTTCGCCGGCTCGTTGTTTATCCTTTGACTAAACCGAAGTTTGGTGAAAGTCATCTTTACAGTCGTCGTCGCTCTATTCTACGCTCTATACGCGACGTCAGTTGAATGTTACGTCCAAGTTATGCTGTTGTAAGTGATGTTGGCTTCATGCTTCTGTGTGCGCTCGTGTAACATGAATTCTTGTACCGTGTTGCACTCGAAGCCGGGGCAATACACGCAGGCGAAGCGGTCGGGATTTTTTGCCACTTGCATCATGTACATGCTCTGCATCGGGATGTTGTTGCCTACCGCCGTTGTCGTCACATTCGCTGCTGGTATCGGGTTGCTCATGATCGTGTGGGCATGCATCAACTGATAAGGCACGTTATTCCCGCCGTTTAAAGCCTGCTGTATAGGCAGGTAGGCATTGCACAATACCTCACCTCCGACATTCGCCCGCTGCTGTTGCAGTTGCTGCTGTGACGGTTGTTGCCGCTGCTGCTGCTGTTGATTAGTGAAGGTATACACCGGCTGCGGTTGTTGACTAATGACCACATGGTAAGACGGTAGTGCTTTCTGTTGCTGCACGTAGCTGTTCTGTACAATGGGCAGAACCGCCGCCGTGCCGCCGCTCTGCTGCACAGGTTGTGCTACTCTGCTGCTCAGTATTGGTTGGGCTACTCGAGCAGGTAAGTTTCGATGATACGCCGCCGGCTTCGGTTGTATTGGCTGAGTGAAAGTTGTTGAAGATGTAGGAGTATTCTGCAATAAGATATTATATTGCTGCTGTTGCAATTGTTGCTGCTGCTGCTGTAATTGTTGCTGCTGCTGCTGTTGTGGTTGCTGCTGCTGCTGTTGCGGTTGCTGCTGCTGCGTCTGTTGTAGTTGCTGGTGCTGTAATAATTGTTGCTGCTGCTGTTGTTGCTGTTTGTCAGCTTGTTTTATGATCTTGTTCTCCGTTAGAGAATACTTGACAGTATGCAGCGGCTTTATACCGACTATATGGTACTGCTTGGACTTTGTAGAGTTGACCATGCGATTCGGCTGCAAAACGCCGTTGTTCGCAGTCGTGGGTCGATTGTGGCTCATTGTGGACGACGAGGTCGACGGTGTAGATGCATGCATCGAAAGATCAAATGACGTTGTAGACCATATAGGCGGCATCATGTTGGGCGGCAAGGATATTCGCGTAAGTTGTTCTTGCCGGGTGGATGACTGGGGTTCAGGATGATGCATCAACATATGCTCCGTTAATTTCTGCTGATTTTCGAACGACTGATTACAATTAGGTCGAGAGCACTTGAAAGTATTCTGAGACGACTTATTGGGCGAAGGCGCAATCAACTCTACCAGAGACTTGACGCGCAGGAAGGATTTAGGTACGACAGTCATGACATTCATCGGCAACGATTCCGTGGAACTGGACTGATTCACACTTGCAGCTGTTTGGTTGTCTTTGGTCGCGTCCAGCGCAGCCGTCGAGTTCACGGCCTTGTTCTCATTGGGTTGTTTGTCTTTCTTGCGTGGGCTTACCTTCTTCGTCATGGGTGTTGTCGAAGCTGTTGCGTTGGTAGCAACAACAACCGAATTTAAATTCTTCTTCGCGTTGTGGAGCTCTTCCGTGAAGACAGTACTCTCGGCTAAATTGCCGCGATGTTGTTCGCCAGTGGGCATCGTGACCTGTTCTTGCGTGTCTTTGCGTTTGCTAGAAGGCAAATCACCGTTTTTGTTCGTAGCCCCCATCGATGGCAAGCTGTCCTCACTCTCCGACAACTGCATCACCAGATCCTCCACTTCGATTTCGTCAAGATTCTTTGAATTCTCGTTGCCGTTCTTGTCAACGGTGTCGCTTCTCGGTCGATTTTCCGCGGAGATCTCGTTACCTTCTCGCCCAGATAACAGAACATTATGCAATATTTGCGAGACGTTTTTGGAACTCGTCGGTACTATTTCCTCGAGTCTCAGTGTCATTTGTTGCTCAGTTTCAGTCTTCGAATTGTGCGATTGGTCCCACGCACTTTCGTTAAGAGAACTTTCTTTTAAGCTGAAGCGACTCAAACTCGTGCAAGGTACATCATTGTTGTCTATGACGCTGCGTACATTCGCCTTAAAGTTTTGACGCTCACAGGCGTCCTTATAAATAATTTTGCACGGGACCGGTTCCTGTCGCTTCTTGTCACCGCTGACATGCGTGGCCGCGTGTTCTTGAAACTGGTCGATGTTGTTGAACTGACAGCCGCAGCAACCACATATGTACTCCTCTTGCAACTTCTCATGGACCGACCAATGGTCCTCGAATCTTCGCAATGACCTATACATAGTCGAGCACACCTTGCAAATATAGATTTTCTTGGTAGCCATGTTCGCGATGACGTAATGCGAGTCCTGATTCTGCTGGTGCTCCAACGAATGTAGATGAAAGAGTCCCTCATTGCTGAACTTTTCATTACACAGTCCGCATATCAGCAATATCTGCGCCCTTATCCTGGACCTGGTGGAGAGAGTCGCTCTGTCTTTTCTCTTGCTGCCCGAAGATTTGAGATCCACGGCCGAAGAACTGTTACCTCGACAAATGCTCATGTGCGACTTTAAGCTCAACTCCGTGGTGAAGGCACTTATGCATTTCTGACACACCTGATCCGCTATTAGCAGGTAACATTCTGTCGATCGCTCTCCGCCGTTGTGCGATATCTCGATGAGTCTCGCGCCGACACAGGAGAGTGGCGAGAATGACAGACGGCTAGCCACGTAGTACGGATCTCTCACGTGGTTTTGCATATGCGTCTTGAACAGTGTCCCGAACTCGTAGAAGATTATTTTACAGATGTTGCAGCGGAAATTAGCCAATCCGTCGCGATTATGCCGCGCATGCATTCCCAAATGATGTAGAATGTGCTGCACGGTAGGGAGTGATGTCTTGCATTTATTGCAGAACAACCTGCACGTCCGAATCGAGTCGCGTTTGCGACTATCCATGCAGATCTTGTTCTCCTCGCGCCTGAGGTGCGTCTCGAAGCAGTCCAAGCGCCGGAACAACGTCTGACAAGCGGTGCACAGCAACACAATCTCAATTTGAACGCAGTCGATGTTGATCGTTTCGTTTCGGTGACATATGCAGACACGTCTTACAGATCGTAGTTGTGAGTGTACCGGACTTACCACATGCAAAGAAGTTACAGTTTCGGTCGTCTCCGATTCTTCGTTGGGATTTTTTCTCGGTGAGACGCTTTGGGCCACATGCGTCAACTGCGGCTGCTGCTCCTTCGTCAAGGACGCATTCTGCACGATGTTCGACGCGTTATCCTCCTCCGTCGAGGGACATACCTCTGACAAGTGTAATTCCGTCGAGGGACATAGCTTTGACAAGAACAATCCCGTCGAGGGGCACAGCTCTGATAAGTGCTCTGACAATTCCGTGGAAACGACATTGCTCTTCGTGTTTGAGTTGTTTTCTGCTGATCTCGTCTGCTGTTCATTGTTGTTGACTGTGGTCTTCTGTTGTTTGACGACTTGATCTCCGACTGTGTCCTGCTGTTTGTCGACGTGGTCTTTGGCTGTGATCTTTTGCCCTTTACCGACTTGACTTCCAGCTGTGTTCTTCTGCAATCCGTCAGTACTCTTGGTAACACTTTCTCTGTTATGCTTACCTAAATCCACAGACTTCGATTTGGCAAGCAGATTCCATTTGTTTTGAGCGCTGGATTTCGGCTGCGGTGTCAAGAGCTGTTTGTTGAATGGTCCTCGGTTCGTCGACGACGATAAGAGCAAGATGTTATCATTCTCAACAATAGACCGAGCAGGCAGGTTTAGTAATTTTCTATATTTCTTTTCATATATCTGGCCGAAAGTTTTATGTATATTCTGCTGACATTTATTGGTCGATAAGTGATGAAGCAGCAAATGATAATTGTCATAAACTGACTGACATATAATACATTTGTAAGTTCTCTTGTAGCCGGTTTGAGATTTTATTGGCAACGTCGTTGATGATTTTGCCTGCGACTGCGTCTCGTCAACGTTCATTTTCTCAGATGATTTTGACGATTTTGCCACTTTTGACGTATCTTTACTCGATGTGGACGAGAACTCCGGTATGGCAACATTCTCCACTGCTGTGTCTTTGTTACAGGAATGTATAACGACAACGTTGTCTTTGGATTTAGGAGAAGTAAATAGTTTCTTACAGACGGTTTTCTGGGTGTTCGCGTTATTGAGAAAACTCGCAATTGACGGCTGATTCTTTGGCGTAGAAGGTTTTATAGGGGATGCGACTGGTGTGTTATCCTTTCTGGAAGATGTAAACTTGGAAGACTGTGGATCAGAAATAGTTTCCTCATGTGTCGCATCCGCCGAATTGTTCGACGGATCCGACGGAACGGAAGGTAATTCCACCGTCGATTGCGCCAAAGTGGATTGGCTGTTAACTGCTTTTTCCGGTTGTTCCGCGAATTTCTGCGGACAGAATGCCTTCTGCCAGATTTCTAGTAGTGTCTTATTCGATGTAGGTTTATTCTTGTTTACCGAACTAAATTGCTTCTTCAAGGAAATCTTCGATTTATTGGGATTCACAAACAGCATGTTTTCACGTTCCTCATCTGCCGACGTTTGATCATCTGTAAAAAAAGAATTATCTTCAACGGAATATCCTGTATAATTAACAATTACTTAACCGAAGACAATTGAACGTTTATAGGAAACAAGCGATGCGATAATCAAAAAAGAAAAAAAAGAAATACCTTAACTAAGGAAAAAGGAAAAAGAAATAAGTAGAAAGTATTTCTTTCGGATCGTTTCTCTGAAGAGATATACTGCAATGTTCATAAAACGTCAGAAACAAATTCACGATATATGTGACACTAACTAGGAAGGTAGATCAAGCAATATACGAGAATATTGAATTGTTTATTAAATCATCTTCTAGAATTACGCGATTATTTATAATTTTGTTCATCACCATGAACCAAAGGAATGAAATCAAGAGAGTTTTACCTTTTGATGGATATTTTTCTGCTGCTTGAGATTCAGTAAGAGGTACATTGTCAATACTCGGTACATTGTCAATCTCGGATACGGGTGCGATAGCAAGGCTTGCATTGTCTTTTTCTGTGTCAGTTGTGCTCGTATTTACTTCTTTTGAACATTCCAGCTCTACAAATCTATACGTATATGATTTGCGAAATTTTAAGCTGGTTCGAATCACGGATCTGATGTGTTTGCGCGTTAAAAACTCGACGTTACTCGCCGAATATACGCCATTATCGGCGAGACTGCACAAGGTTTCCAATTTTATCAACAGAACTCTAGGCTTTTTGAACAATTTAAATTTCTTCCAGAAATTAACGCACGACTTTAACGCAATGTTCAACCGATTCGAATCATATTTCTTGTTGCAAGCATGGGACGTTTTTGGCAATTTCAGTGAAGTTCTGGAAGTCTCCACTGCTGTCGAAGTATCGTTATCAACTAGCGTAATCGACAGGCATTCCTGATTTGTTCTGTGCATATTGTCATCCTTATTCGCAAGAGATTGTGGTATGACAATCTGAGGTACAGTATCTTGTGACCTCGTGCTCGTCGATGCTTCTGCATTGTTCAACACTACTACTGCTTTCAACTGCTGTTCTTCTTCCGAATGGCATATCGATACTGTATTCTGCGAGTTGTCTGTCGCATTTCTCTTTTGCCATCTGATAACATTCGCATCACTCGACTCTTCCAGTCTTGTTAGAACAACTTGCAATTTGCAATATGACTTCATTATAGGCAATTTTTCTTGGCTCACTGTTTCACGAGACAAACAAGGAAAACTTCGATCGTTATTTTCGATCATTTTTTCCACACGGTTACTTGTATTTGTATCTTCATCATCAGACACGTCTGACAATACATATCTTTTCTTTCTAGTTTCATTTCTTTGAACAGGCCATTCGTCAGATGATTCATCACTAGAGACAATCCTTCTCCTTTTCAATTTACATTTGGCCAGTTCTCCTCGCATAGAGACTGCTCTAATGAGAAGGTCATCGAGTGTCTTATCATAATAGGTATTACTTTTCTTGACCAAGTGTTTTTTCTTAGACTTTGCTTCGTCTTGATGAGAAGTTTGTTCAGACACATCATTATTCTTATAACTACACGAAGCTTGCTCTGGGTGTTTTTTTAAACTTGTTGATAAAAATTTAGACATATCACTGTTCTTATAACTACACGAAGCCTGTTCTAGTTTTTCTAAACTTGGCGATGAAAGTGGAACATTAGGATGTGTTACTGCATCTTGTGTGCTGGTCAATATTCGTTTTTTAATCCAATCATATGGCACAGTACGTGCTGATGTATATGATTCATCAAAGGATGAATTTTGTTCTTGTGTCTCATATTCAGACAACAGCAGAGATAAATTATCTGTCTGCTTATCCTGATTATTTTGCTCAGAATCATTTTCTCTTAATTCTTCTTTTCCTTCAAATGCTTCACTTAAGGTTCTACAATCATCTATATTATTTTCTGATAAATTTTCGATCACGGACTTAGCTGTTGATTCAATTTTTTTAACTGTTTTATTATTCCAAGATTTCTCAGAATTTTTTGCCTCAGATACTTTCTTTATCTTCTTTTTTGAACATCCAAATTTCCACATACGTTGTTTCCTGACCTTACGTGGAGTAATTAGCTGTGTTGATATATTTTTTAGATTCTTTTGTGGCAAACGTACAAGACATACTGAGACGTCTCTGATTTTAGTGCTGGAATCGGTTATATCACTTATACTAGTCTTCATTGATGAATTGCTACTGCATGGCACTGCCTCAAATAATTCCTCATCAGAGCTATTCATTGCTATAATATTTATAAGTTATAAATATTTGATCTATATATAAACATAAGTTTTACAATATCAAGGTGGAACTCACTTGTTCAAGATAATCCAAATTAGGTTAGAATTGAAGAGTCAATAATTTGCTCAGGGTGTAAATGTCGGCTATTTTAACAATTACTTTGTTTGGTGTATAACACTACTAATCCTGTAAATTTTGTTACATATTATGCTATATTTTATGTTACACTTAGTCCTTATACATCAAAGACAGCCAATTCGAATCGCGTAATGATGCATCAGAGAATTCACTTATCTTTCCTCTTATTATATCAGAATAATAACAATATATTATAAGAAAATTGTTTGATGGAACTAAAATAATGACTCATTCTTTACATACCTGAACAGTTCGTGATAGCTAACAATAGTGACACTTTTTGATCAATCTGTTGAGATTTCCTTCAACTATAGTATCTGCAACAATAAATTTCAATGAACTTTATTTTATTTATTTAGTTTATTCAAACTATTAAGATATGAATTCTTTTTGTGATTATAACATTCATCATAACTCACATTGCATTGTATTTTTCGATGCCCGATCCACCGCTTTATTAGGTTATACAACTGCTATTGAAAAAAATGTCGTCGAAAAGCGCGGTTCTTCGTTCTTTAAAGCTTTACGTAATGACGAGAGGTTCGAATTTTTGCGCATGCGTGTCTACATGAGTGTCTAGTAAGTAAAATTGAACATGCTTCAGTTTCGGTCTGAGTTTCGGCAGATTTATTAAACGTAAATCGCGACGTAGGTTATTTTCTCGCAAAAAACACAAAGGCCCATATTCAGAACGCGCTACATATACGCTGCCATATACGCTTCTAAATACGTGAGATGTAGGTGCGCTTGTAGCGCTCGTATGCAGAACGCAAGAACAGAGCACTATTACCTAAAGACGCAATGACAACCAATAAGAATGCTCGTTTCCGAGCAGTATGTAGCTATTGATTCTTTTCATATCGCGTAATGTGGATGCGGCAAGAGTACGAGATGCGCGTCGTCCAGCGTTCAAATGTCCGTTGACGATTTTTGCGAAGTGGAGTGCTCTGATATATTGTCAAATTGTGTATAGTAAGTTTATTTATTATATTAATTTACATTTCATTCTTATAATTTTGTTACATTGCTTATTTATTATTCATTGCTTACTCTTAACAACGGATAATTTTAATAAATATACATGTTCGTATCTTTATAGATGAACGACAAGGGAAAATTTTTCTGCCGAAGAAAAGAAAACAATAATTGATTTAAATTATTATTATTATTTAAATTATTATTATTTTTTCTTTAAATGTGACAGGAGCTGTTAGTGCGCTTATACATAGCCCTGACCACTTTTATCGTGCGCTGCTAAGATATCGATATGTTAGCGTGCTGTTACGACTTATTCGTGGTTCTGAATAGGGATTTTGCTCTAAACACGCGTGATTATCGATATGTCCTAAAATGCTGCTCCATAAAATGCTGCTATCATCGCGTTGAGAATATGCGCGCTAATAAGAGCGCTAACATCTCGACTTGTTAGCGCGCTAATATCTTTGTTAGCGCGTTCTGAATATGGGCCAAAGACCTGTGCAGAGACAAAAAGCCGTTACTTGCATCACAAAGAATAATGTTGCAAAAAAGAAAATTATCTATGTTAATATATATAAAACCGTAAAAATATTATATTATAAAGAAATTATTTAAAAGTAAGAAACAATAAAAAGATGTTAGAGCCAGAAAATATAAAAAACTAAAAAAAAAATGACAAAAAATATAACAAAACGTAAAAAAAGACTAAAAATATAAAAAATACAAAAAAACAAAAAATATAAAGAAAACACAAAAAAATAAAAAATAAAAAACATAAAAACCGCAAAAAAATTATGTTTATCTAAAATCTTTATTTTATCCTTACACGAATTTTACAAAATTCCATATATCCACCGCGTAGGGGGTAGAAACGAAACGAAAAGCGATACAAACGGGTACAAACGAATACGAAGCAGCACCCGCTTTTAGATTGCGAATATCTTTAAAAATGGCAAAGCTACCCCTTATACGAATTTTCAAAATTCCATATTTTCAAAGGGGTACAAACGAAACGAAAAGCGGTACAAACGGGTACAAACGATGCTGAATCGAATGACATTTGAGAGATTACTGTATCTCAAAGTGGAGTGCTGATGATTTTTCAAACCTTTATAATTCTCACCCCTTTGAGGTACAAAAAAACAAAAGGTGGTACAAACGGGTACAAACGGAGCTTAATCGAGTGCATATATGTAAAAATATTTTTGGTAAAGTCGGGTGCTAACTTCACATAGCTCCCTCGACCCTCTCGAAGGCCCTTTGCCTCTTGTGACGCGCGCTTCAAAATCGCCACGTCACAATTTCTTATCCATACATACACAAATACATTTATAAATATATACACAGAATACATATACATGTCCAAAAAACATTTTAGAAATATATCTCTAAAATGTTTTTCGGACATTGGATATATATGGGTATAAGCTATATTATCATTTAAATAAAAAATCACAATGACTTCAAAATAAGTAACAAAGACTGAAAACTCACTTTGTAATCATGATTAAATTTCTTGTCTTGAACATTTTCTTGTCATTTTGACGTCACTTTGATGTTATTGTGACTTTCTATTTTAATGTACAATTCTAAAAGTCATCATAACATCATTTCAATAACAAACAAACATCACCAAACCATCACGAAAACTATATCGAATGACATCATCTTGATTTGTCTTAAAATGACTTTTATTTGATATCATAATTATATTATTATGATTTTTTGTTCTATCTGGATATAACTATCACATAATATATAGTCCATTTCTATAAAATGAAAAAAACGTATCATAAAAATTAAAATATTTAGTAAATATTAGACTATTAAGATATTAAGTGATTTATCTAAGTATTACACGTTATTGTAAAAGATTATAAGACATAAATAATATATAGTCTAACTTCTTTTTATATTCTTTGTGCTTTCTGGATATCAATTGTTCAAACATAAACAATACATGTTAAATATCTAAGATAAATGTCCCAATAATTGAACTAATAACAAAGCTCGATCAACTTTATATTTTTATTAATAAGTAACTAATAGTATTACTAAAAAGATTAATGTTTATATAAAACTTCAGTTTATTAGCTATTGAAAAATAATAGGAAATGAAATAATCAATAGTTATATACTGTAATTTTAATGAAATACTGGGTAATGTCATTTGTACACTCGCGGATATAATAGTAAGTGCCCGTTTTTTTGCAACTTTCGGAACGCATCCCGACTCGAGAAGAATGAAGGTCACTGCTCCGCCTGCGGAGCACGCCTGCGCAGTGACTCACAACTCGAGTTTCCAATCCCGGATACAATTTAGGATCCCGGGATTTCGGGATTTTTGGATTCCAACTCGGGATCTCGGGACTAGTCCCGGGATTATATATATATAAAGAAAGAAACAAGGAATATTTACAAATAATAGAATTATTTTATTTATAGAACGTTCACAGACTTTTATGAACATTATGACAAACAACAAATAAAATTTCAGTAAAAATGAAAGCAACTTACATTAATGATTGCATAAAAATCGTTACAATTAAAGATTAAAGTTTTTGTATTAGGAGTACAAATAAGTTTCCGCCGTTTGACGAAAGATGGCCCCAGCAGAAGGTTATGTTGAAATTGTCAGATGTAAAACGTAATATCGTAAGTTTGGACATCTGGTAACAACATAATCTTGAAGTATTAGTGACTCCGTATCAGCATCACATAATTTTTTTCGTGCGAAAATGTCAAGTTTTGTGCCGAATAAGCGTCATTTGCGGGAACTTTTAATTTACTTCTTTTATTTGAAGAAATCTGCAGCTGAGGCGCATCGATTGCTTGTAGAAGTATATAGTGAGACTGTTTTAAGTGAGAGAAGTTGTCGTGAGTAGTTTCAAAAGTTTAAAAACAGTAAGTTTGACGTGGAAGATAAAGAACGTAGTGGAAGGCCGAAAGTGTACGAAGACACGGAATTGGAAGCATTATTGGAGGAAGATTCGTGCCAAACGCAAGAAGAACTTGCACTTATATTAGAAGTGACTCAACAAGCAATTTCATATCATTTAAAATCGTTGGCAATGATTCAAAAACAAGGAAATTGGGTTCCATATGAACTGAAGCCGAGAGACGTTGAACGCCGATTTTGCACGTGTGAAATGCTGCTTGCCAGGCATAAAAGAAAGGGTTTTCTTGCATCGTATAGTCACTGGTGATGAAAAATGGATCCACTACGATAACCCAAAGAAGAGAAAATCATGGGAACCACCTGGCCATGCTTCAACATCGACAGATAAACCGAATATTCATGGAAAAAAACTCATGCTGTGTATTTGGTGGGATCAGCTTGGTGTCGTGTATTATGAATTGCTCAAACCGAGCGGAACCATTACTGGAGCTCTCTACCGAACACAATTAATGAGATTGAACCGAGCACTTAAGGAAAAACGCGCCCATTACTACTCCAGACATGACAAAATTACTCTCCTACATGACAACGCTCGGCCACATATTGCAAAACCGGTCAAAACCTATTTGGAAACACTTAATTGGGAAGTCCTACCCCACCCGCCGTATTTACCAGACATTGCCCCTTCCGATTATTACTTGTTCCGGTCGATGGCACATGACCTGTCTAAGCAGCGCTTTACATCATATGAAGATACTAAAAATTGGGTCGATTCGTGGATAGTCTCAAAAGATGAAGAGTTCTTTCGACGTGGTATCCGAATGCTGCCAGAAAGATGGGAAAAAGTAGTGGCTAGTGATGGACAATACTTTGAATAAAACGTAATGTACCGTTCTTTCACAATAAATTCCTAATTTTTGATAGAAAACGGCGGAATCTTATTTGTACTCCTAATAATAAAAATAAAAATAATTATTTCTTCTTTCTCATATTTGAAAAAGCGACTTTAAAAATAATAAAACATAAATTTTGTTAAAAAATATCTGATCGAGAGTCTCGGATTCGAATCTGTGTTGCACCAGTTTATCCGCGAAATTCAAAATAGAAAACTCCCTTAATATTTAAAACAAATAAAAATAATATGTGAAATTAAATTTAAAATATAAATACACACTTCTCTAGCAAATGCTCTAAAACATCAATAATAAGTAATAATTATTAAAGTAAAATTTTTGTAAAACGTAAGTATTATATAGACACTAAGCATTAAATTTTGAAATCCCGAAATCCCGGGATTTGTGATGTTGAATCCCGAGTATTTTCGGGACTAAAAATTTGGCCGGGATCCCGGGGTTGGAAACTCTACTCACAACGAAAGGGGAGAAATGAAATATACGCGGTGGGACATATTGACTTGTGCATTCGTTACAGCTGATAATTCATCTCGTCCAGATGATCCATCTCTTTCAGAAGACTTTAAAGTGGAAGTCACCTTAAAACGATATCTCACGTATCATTTTCACGCTTGGGTGGAAAGGTAAATATCTATAATTATGTTTTATATTGTAGATACTGTGTGTCAAAGTATTTCTTGAGAAGAAGAAAGTAGGAAAATATAATGAAGAAGATATGAAAAGAAGAGCAGAAACATCGGATGATTCTTGTCTGTTCTGTGTTCCCTCATTTCCATTTAATGCTGGAGTATTCATTTCATCTGAGTCTGTATTATTATTCAAATCAAGCAGTAATCGCACTCTGTTTTATCGTACATCTATAATTGTATCAGTATACCCAATCTCTTGTAAATATCTGCAATAAAACTGTTTTATCGTATATCTATAATTGTG